ATGGGCTGGATGGTACTTCCTTCTCTATGTATTCTTATTATGTGTTGATTTTTTATGATATTGCACAGTACGCTGCTAAATATTTTAATTAAACCTGACTTTTTAAACTTTTTTCTGGCACTGATGTAGTTATTGGAGTAGTAAAAGTTGTTTTAATTTACCCTCTGGCATCAGTTCTGTTTCCCCATATAATATTGACAAAGTGTTATCAACACTAACAAAGGAGCCTTTATTATAATAATATATTATATTATCGATGTTCCCAAATCATTAGCACAAAGACACATTTCTGCGTTTATTGGCATTACCTCCAAAATGTTTTACAACTTTTGAAAGTAGTGGCAAATATGGGAAGACAATGCAGTTGTTTCTTGGTTAAACTGGGCAAGGAAAGATCAACAATTCTAGCAGAAAATACCAAAACAATTACTCACTGTTTATCCTCAAAATAACAAATCATGTGACAAAAAACTACAGTAGCTCCTGAACTCATTCCAGAGCGATGAGTTGGTAAAGTTTAAAATGTTCTTGTGTAAGTTAGACACGTTTAAACTTATAGTTATGATTCTTTGACTCTTGTGTGAAGGCCACTGTTTTCCCACCCTGACGAATCACAAAAGGCCTTGTTGCATGCTCACCCTGTGTTGCGTGATGATACCGTATCAGTGGCAGCGAGTTATGGGGCTGGGCATTCCTAGCCATATGAGACTCCAGTTCCAAGAAACCAAGTCTTAAGCTCTGCCATAAACACAGCACCAGCGATATTGTCAGCTAAATATAGTCTCCCCCTTCTGCCTTCTCCATCTCCCCCAACTCCCCATTGCTCTCTCATCGCTGCAGTGTGGATTTCAGGGGTTGATCGTGGATTAGTGATGTGCTGTTTGCTGGTTGTCTTGGGTCTTATAATCTCATGTACTCTGTGTGAAACAACAGAGGTACGGAGACATTTTAACCGCAGGCTGACAGCTGTTGATATTCCAATTAGGCAAATCAGGCTGGAGCATGGCATTGGTGGCAAGTATTACAAATAAACAAAAGTGTTGCTGGAAGATCTGGAATTTCTACTCCAGGTAAAACTTTGTCTGACTAGCGTTTGGTGCTGTGTTTTTTTTTAAAGCTAAAACAATGCCTGTTGCACCTGAAAATGAAAAAGTAAAGTTGCTTAAAGACCCTTAAATGTTCCATAGAGCCAAGAGACACTGCAGAGTCAGGTGATAATTATCTGTGGGCTTACCCTTTCACATACAAGTAGTCATTTGACCCGTTGTTAATATTAAAATATTCATTATGGCAGCTTTAAGTATGTAGCTTATCTGGACTGACTTACAGTGAGGTAATGGTAGTGTAATATTGCATTTCTTTATTATTATCTTTGGGAATAGTGTAGCATGCAAAGGTCTGAACCACAGTAACCCAGAGACCCTCTAAAGAAGACGTTTTTAAAAGTTGACTGGGATTTTCTTTAAGTACAATTACAGTGAATTAGGCAAGTATTGCAGCTCATTCCCAAAGTGATGTAAGTTACGATGGTGTCCTATTATTGGTTCCCCAACATCTTCAGGTCAGAGTTGAGTACGTCTCAGTTTTCATGCCACAACACTATCCAGCCCTCCTCTGATTTATCCTGCGTAACGGAGAGGAAGCTGCATTCTGACACACATCGTAAAAAGATGACATGCACGTAACGCCATGAACCTCAGCATCTCTTTAAAGAGGCCATATTATCCTTTCTTGGGAGGGGTTCTCCTTTCCTGTAGTGTGTTATATAGGTTTGTGTGCATGTAAATGGTCTGCAAAGGCTAAAATCACAAAGTTCTCTCCAGAGGGAGTTTCTGTTGTTTACTTCCAGAACATAGTTACATCACTATGTAACACTCACGCTTCCATTTGCTAGCGCTCCAACACATTGTACGTTATAGGCTAAGGGGCGGGACATCTCTAAGCGGTTGACCGGCCAGCTAACCAATCAGAGCAGACTGGGCTCTGGTTTCAGACAGAGGGTGAAAAGAGGTGGTGCATCACAGGCAGTATGAGAAAAATAAAGAGCTTTTTGAACATTAAAGCATGGAGACATGTCACAGGAGAGACACACAATACAAATATGGACCTGAAAATGAGCAGTACCCCATTCAAATTGTCAACACACACTCAGATATCCGTAAATCTAGATTCACATGTTCAGATCTATATGTTTCCACAAACTCTTATTCACGTTTTTCACACATCTTCTTCTCATTCTCCCATTTACTTTTGGTATCAGTTTGTTATCTTACTCTTATCTACTGCCTTTGTAAATGATGTCTTTTTTTGCTGCCTCTCCACACGCACTCTGCAGCCGTGCTCTCTCCATTCAGACACATGACAGAGGGTCAGATTTACGTTTCAGGGCACCCAGGAGGCTACATATTTCAGAGATGGACAGCCTGCTGTGATTTACCGAGCTCTAACACTAAAGTGGCAATCTGTTTTACTTCACACAAGTTGTGTGTGTGTGCATGTGTGTGCGGAGCGAGGGGGAACTGTTTTCATGAATCAGAGCAAAAACAGTTTTGACACTCATTCTGCGGGAATTTACATTGTCAGTTATCACCTAGTAATTTTCTGCGGGTGTGTGTGCCTCTGTGGAATTGTCCGAGTGTGTGTGTATTTACTTACAAGCGCCAATTAGCCACATAAGGACAAAAAGATGTGGAAAGCCCTTTAAAGTGTGCTTAAAATCAGGGCTGAGATTAAGCTACGGGACGGGAGGGCTGAAGGAATACATGTGGTCAATGAAACAGTGCAACAAAGGGAAGTCATTACTGTAAATGATGTATTAGCCTAATGACTCCCCCAGCCCGAGGCTTACGTTAGAGAAAATAGAGAGATTTTTCCGCTGAAACTCAGTAGCACAGCGTCTGCCTTTTTTAACAGCTCTGAGGTGATGAGTGGCCTTGATGCTGCTTAATAGATTAATAGATTATCCGGATGGCTGTATGTGCTCAATGTGCATGTGTGTGTGTGTCTGTGTGTGTTTAAGGTTCAGCAGAAATGTGTTGCGGTCTTTATAGGTGGCTGAGAAAGCGTCTGTTTGAAGCCAGAAATATGAATTTGACTTTAAATTGCTCGTTTGTGAGGGAGCTGTAATTACCTCTTCAGCATTCATGTGTCTGCATTTCAAATACAGTTGTGGTTCTGGATGAAATAGTTTGTTAGCGCATGGTTCTGAAATCAACATTTTCTTTTATAGCTTCAATACGCAGACAGGCAGTATTAGACTTTTAAGGTATTCAAATGATTTACTGTACATGAACCGAGCTTGGGCAAAACATTGTTTAGATTCATATGAATATGATGTTATATATGATTGTATAAGTATATATGTTATACATGCTTTATATATAAAGTATCTAAGATAATCGTAAAGTCCATTTGTCTATCCAGTTGCACACCAGAAATGGTATGAACACACTTTTTTAACCCTCCTGTTGTCTTCGGGTCAAATCTGACCGATTTACTTTCATCAATCATAACTTTTTTGTTTTACATTCGATTGCATTAAGGCTTTATGATATCCTTCACAGTAGACATTTGAACATATGAAATTGCTGATCACCACTTTCATTGAACTTTGGATGATTTAGTCAACTTTGTAACACCCATGGTGTTCCCGGTCATAAAGAAAAGGAATTAGTAACCATCCTGATCAGATAAAACACACACACACACACACACACACACACACACACACACACACACACACACACACACACACACACACACACACACACACACACACACACACACACACACACACACACACACACACACACACACACACAGAACAATTTGACACATTTCCCGCTCTTATGTGCCCATCCCCCCACATGGATCACACCTGGCACACGCAATACATGTTCAGTGTCTATTCTTTGTATATTTACTGCAGTTGTTCATGTATACCAGTAGTCTGATACAATATTTACAGTTTGAAAGGGTGTTAAATGAAATGTGGTGATGATGAATGATTTTTGTGTTAATGTAATAGCAGTTAAAACAGGACCGGTCAAATTTGACCGCGAACATCAAAGTAAGGGGGGGGAAACGAAGACAATACAGTATGCAGTATATTATAATAATAATAATAATAATAATAATAATAATAATAGTAATAATGATAATCAAGCATGGCTCTAACACACATTTTATAAAAATACAAATTAATACCTACACTAAATATAAGCAATAATAAGTACATACCTATGATTTAGTCATAGGTATGTACTTAAGCACCTTGAATTGCCTTGTGTTGAAAGGTGCTATATACATAAACTTGCCTTGCCTTGCCTAGTCACGTAAAGTGTATTTGCCTTTGATGACTGTCCACATTACAGTGGTGTGTCAGTTCCACATTAGAGAGTGCATGTCTCTGCCAGGTGTGTCTGGGGCAGAGCTGTTTTACTCCCGCCCTGAAGCTGCCTGAAAAAACATATAATCCCACAAGAATTTATTGTGATAAAAATGAATTGAATTACCGCAAACCAAGAGAGGTCATTCAGCATAAAGCCATAAATGAGCATACTAAATAAATAGCAGATTAGAGCAGGAGTATGCATGAATATCTGTGGACAAACTTAGAGATGCTCACACACTCAATCACACACAACAATGGCAGGATCCTTGGCTGGGAACAATTACATTACATGTCACTTGTTAGACGCTTTTATCCAAAGCGACTTACACACATTCAGTACTGTGGACAATCCCCACTTCAAGATGGTTTTGGTCACTGTCTCACTGGTGATCAATATGTTTCCTTCTCTATCCTTCTGAGGTCAGCAGCACAAGTGTAGACCCTCAGCTCGTCACGGGTTATTTCGACATTATGTTATGTTGTATTAAGTCTTCTCCTCATCCCTCTTCTTCTATACCCAAAACTTGCCTATAATGACATATGTTAATGTACCGGTACAAACTGTGGCCACAAAATTGAAACCATTTCCTTTCCTTTTCCTTCGCAGAATGATGTCTTCCATGCGAGCAACGCCTCCCTTCCACCCAGCATCTGAGGAAGAGGAAGCGATGGGTCAGGACAACCCGGCCTGGGCGAGCGAGGAGAGAGAGGGCCCGAAGGAGCCGCCGACCCCCCCCTCACACGACAGACCCCACCCGGACGAGCTGCAGCCAATCAGGGAGAAGCTGACGGATGCTGAGTGGGAGAACGTGGTGCCCGCTGCGATGGTGAGACGTGAATTACGCACGGCGCTGAGAAATTGACCATATCTTATCTTGAGATGTGTTGCTATAACTCAAATCTATAAAACAAATGTGGTTAGTGTGTGTACACAGTGTTCACAGTGTACACACTCCGGGCACATGACTCATAAAACACTCATGAAATACATGCAGGGGTACACAGGCTGCACAGATTCTCATGCATAATGATGATTGTGCACAATTGAACACACACACACACACACACACACACACACACACACACACACACACACACACACACACACACACACACACACACACACACACACGCACACACATACACACACACACACACACGCACACACACAGAGAGGACCACTGGTATGTGTGTGTGTGTGCTGCAGGCATTGCTGTAGGCAGCCCAGTGAGGCTTCTCCTCCAGAGAGTTATAGCCCTCGGTTCTAATATATCTCGACTGCCTGTTTTCGTGTGTGTGTGTGTGTGTGTGTGTGTGTGTGTGTGTGTGTGTGTGTGTGTGTGTGTGTGTGTGTGTGTGTGTGTGTGTGTGTGTGTGTGTGTGTGTGTGTGTGTGTGTGTGTGTGTGTGTGTGTGTGTGTGTGTGTGTGTGTGTGTGTGTGTGTGTGTGTGTGTGTGTGTGTGTTGAGGTGTTAGTTACTTGGCTTCAAGTTCTGTTGGTCCCTAATGGAGGAGGTGTGTTTGACTTCAGCCTCTGAGGGAAGGGGAACGTTCTGAGAGTAAAGTTTCCTTAGGTATCAAAGTTGTGGCAGAACACACTTCCCAAACAAAAGCCCTATTCATGTTTTCAAAAAAAAATACAGATTCGTTTTTTTATTCTTCACTGATTCAGAGTTGCCTTTGTAGTTGTCTGATATTAACAGTATTTCTTCATTGTAATCATGTCACTTATTGCCTTTGTGATGGGTCTTTTCTACCTTGAATTACACACATATGCTTATACTGTATGAGCATGAATGCTTTTAAGATAACTGTAAAGTCCATTTGTCTGTCCAGTAACACAAGAAATGGTATAGACACACTTTTGAAATACAGTATATGCAACACTTTGTAGCGTATTATCAGAAAATGTTCAATAATAATAATAATAATGATTTGAAATAAATAATAATTATGACAAAAATTAAACACTAAGAACTTTAAACACAATCTTTGGTGTGGCCTTGATGCAAAAGGTTTCTGTTGAAGTTGTCACATACTGCTCTGAATGTGACTATTCTCCACATGGCTGACCACAGGAGTCTGATAGGAACCATTCAGACAAAAAAAAATAGTGTTTGGTGTTATCTGCATTGGTATAAAAGAAAGAAAGAGAAAGTGTAGTTTGAGGCCACTGGTGAAAACTTTCCAAAAAGTTAGCAATAGCGTGACGAGGTAACACGACACACACAAAAGCAATAGAAGTAATAAAACACTTTTCTGGAAGATATTGAAGGACTGAAAACTAAATATTTTCCTTTTCCACCATCACCAAACCGTTAGGGACAATTAACTTTTGGAAAAACGAGTCCATTTGCTGATATTTGAAGGCCAGTTTTAAAAGTTCACTTAAATGTATCACAAAAGTCCCGAAATTAAATGCATCATTTGAATTCACTTTTAAAAATAGATTTGGGAACAGATTCATGAATTGTGCAAAGCCTACAAAGCTTTCCTCAAATATTGTATTATAATAATAATAATAATAATGCATCACAGAGGGGGTTCATGGTTGTTTATTGTGTGCTGCAGTGACTGAATGTGTGACCTTTGGGTTTTAAATATGATCTGCCTCCCCCACTCTGTTTGTAATAGTCCTTGGCAGCATTATGCACGAGCAGAAAAGAATACACCTGAACTTCCCACAAGTGACACACTATCTCCTAATCCTTATTACAGAGGCATCTTCCGCTTAAAGACAAAGTGCACAACAGGGCCTCCAGGAGCCATTTCAAGGGCGTCTTAAGATCCTGCTGTTAGTTAAAGCCCCTTGTCTTTGAAACCTAAGCCTCCTAAAGTTCTTGGAGATCCCCCCACTCTGTAAGAGGAGGAGAAAGCGTCCAGAAATAGACCCCGGTGTTAGAACACCTGTGCTGGAGTGTCTGTTGTGTGGGACAATGTGGTCGTCTTGCAGGGCTTATCTTCTCGGTAAATATAGACTCCTTATGCCTCTTACTTAAAGGGGACCTATCATGCAAACTGCACTTTTTGATGTCTTTTATACATAAAGATGTGTCCCCGGTGCGTCGGGGAACTCACGCAGCGTCAGAAAATAAAACCCTCTCTCTTTTCCTCCGTACCCAAATCTTTTAAAAACGGGGGTACAACGAGCGGATACAAATTTGCCGCCGATTTGACGTCAAATTGGCGGCGGACCCACAGAGAGTTGCTATCAGAAACAATGCCTGACGCGTTTTGGACGTAATCTTGTCTTTGTTTACATTAGCAAGCCTCGCTAACACTCAGAGCTAACCTGTACTGGAGAGCACATGTGTTTAAAAAGCAGGAAATAAAAAAAGAACTCACCTTGTGATAAACCCGCAAGAGAAAAAGCATTTGAGCTCCATACTGTTTCAGAAATAATCCTTGACGTGGTTTAGAACAGGATGGCGTTTTATCACAGCAGAATTTAACTTTATCTCCGGTAGAATTCTGATCAGGCATTAGCTCCGCCTCCTCTTCTTTCTTTTTTTTCAAGCTAAGGACCCAAAATCCGCGTTTCTTTGGGTGTTTCTCAATCGCGAGTACGCTTGCTTGGTAGCACATGTCTGCCGAGCATCTTGCTTCAGAAGCGAGTCAAGAATACTTCCTGGCATTCGGAAAACGAAGAGTGGAACACGCTAGCAAGTGTGCAGGTGTGCGTCATATGAGAGGCCCCGCCTTACATCTTCCGCCACAGATTTTGGAAATTGGTCCGTGCGCAAAGCATTGTGGGGATTTTAAGACCGCGGAGTCTACTCATGTGCAGCCTCGATATTTCTCCAAACGGAGTACGCCGGGCTCGGTAGATTTCCAAGTATGCTGGACATTGGAACAGTACTTCGGCGGCACTCGATGACGTAGTATGCTTGAAATAGTGGCTCTGGAGCAGCTTTACTCGCGATTGAGAAACACCCTCTAACAGGGCTTCAAAAGAGGGGTTTGAGCAGTATGAGGCATGGCTACAATGGGTGAACTGTTTGGTATTTTGAAAAAAAAACTCCACAGACATGTTTTATATAGGTATGGCCCTACAATATATAATTCAAATATAGCATGATAGGTCCACTTTAACTCAAAACACAGCAGAGTAAACAGCAGTGGGCGAAACACTCTGTTCCTGAAGATATAAGGGTCCATCAATGGAGTTACTCGTACTTGTACATTGGCACTACCTTATAGAACAGGCTATAGAGCAGCAGCCAAACTGGTAGAACTGTGCCAACATGTCGTTTTTTGTTGATTTGTGGGACTTAAACTTTGGAAAACCTTAGTTTCATAATTCTTCCAGGATCATTACTCAACTGGAAGAGACTTCAGAGACTGCAGACCACCGGCAAGGCCGTTTAAGTGAAAAATAATGAATGCATCTGCACTGTGATGAGGATTTGCTCCTAAATGTGTTCTTCTTTGGCCAATACTGAGTTTAATGAAAATCGGGCCTGTATTATTTTCCCGTAAACCTTCCAAAAAACAAACCGACAAACCGAACCGAAAGCAAAATCTCATTGGCGGAGCTGATGGATAAAATGTATGTATTATTGAGAAACATAATCAGAATATTCTTCTGACATCGATGAAATTCACAGCGTGACAACAGCAAAGCTTCAGTGCAGATAAGACTAAAACAATGTACAGTAGTAAACTAACATACTAAATAAAATGCAAACACACTTTAATGAAATAAAATGAAAATAAAAACACTGCCATGGTAAAAAAAAAAAGCAGCCCAGGCTTTCAGGAATAAAGAAAAACAAATCTTTCAGTTCATTTAAGTTAATCTACAAATAAGTTATTTCATTTTGCACTGATCCACAATTGCCCATGTAGTTAGCTGAGCTTTACAGTATTTCTGTGTTGTATTCATGTCCTTTTTTGCCTTTATGATGGTCTTTTGAATACCCTATTAGTTGACATTGCTCTATTCTGTAATAGACCTAGTACTCTGACCCAGACCTCACCAATGTTAAACAAATCAATTGTGTGATAGTCCCAACATAACACCGTTGGCATGAAGTATGTATAAGCGATGCATTTGTCTGGTCTAAATCAAAGTCAGTGAGGTTAGAATCAGCGTTGACCTGACCTTGTGTCTCTTTTTCCGTCTCTTTCCAGGACATTGAAAGCAGTAAAGGCTGTTCAGTCTACTCATACCGGACTAACTCTACCTCTCCACCGAAGCCAGAGGATCCGATGATCTGCCTCTCCTTCGGGACGCCGGAGCGCCGCAAGGGAAGCCTGGCCGACGTGGTGGACACTCTGAAGCAGAAGAAACTGGTGGAGCTGACCAAGACCGAGCAAGACGGTAGGCCAACGTCTTCAGCTCAGTGTGTGTGTGTGTGTGTGCGTGTGTGTGTGTGTGTGTGTGTGTGTGTGTGTGTGTGTGTGTGTGTGTGTGTGTGTGTGTGTGTGTGTGTGTGTGTGTGTGTGTGTGTGTGTGTGTGTGTGTGTGTGTGTGTGTGTGTGTGTGTGTGTGTGTGTGTGTGTGTGTGTGTGTGTGTGTGTGTGTGTGTGTGTGTGTGTGTGTGTTTTAACTGTGATGCCTCCAAGGGAAATTGGGGGCCCAACACAGAATTTCAACACCGCCCGACTTAAAATTCACACAGTTCAGACCTGGAGGCTGTGACGCCTCACCACTCTTCCACTTAGAAACATCACTGAAGTATTTGGCTGCTGTCATTTAAAATGCCTTTTGACTCCAATATATGTACTTCAGACGATTGAAGAACAAATAGTTTTGGATTCATGTTGAATGAAAAATGTTTGTGGGAATATATTTTATTATCCCATATGGATTTGGGGAAATATTGTATAAACACATATAATATTAAAGGGGCCCTCTTGTGCTTTTCCTGTAGTGTGTTATAGAGGTTTTTGTGCATGTAAATGGTCTGCAAAGGCTAAAATCCCCAAATGGCCTCCACAGGGAGTTTCTTTAATTTGCATTGTTAGACAATAAGATAGGGCCTTTTGAAAAGCAGCACATAAGCAACGACATAATCACACAGAGAACGAGAAATCTTTCAGTCTTTAGTTCATTCCCTCACATGATAGACAGGATGCCGTTGCCGCTCTTCTAATCTTCACTTACACACCAGAAAAGCCTGTATTTTGTTTTCCCTTTCTGAAAACATCCTCTCCAGTGGATCTTTGATCATCTTAAATTACACCTGACAGATCCTCTGCTCGTTAGATCACAATATCAATCAGTGAAAACACAGGTTTCCCTTTCTCCTGCACTCCTCTGATCTGCACCTCTAACACAGGGAAGTCTCCCAGCATGCCTCTGCACGCCGCTACTCACCCCACAGCAAGCCAGATCTAACACCACCTAACACCCCTCTTTACTGTTATGTGCACATAGTAATCATGATGATATCAGAGGAGTGCTTTATCTCTCTCATTTAAAGGGTTCACTTTGTTATTGATACAGTAAAGTGGGACAGCCAGAGGCGGAATACACTACAGTTTCTTTGAAAGACAGGTAGCTCTGCCTCTTATCTACAGTACGGAAACTGGATTGAAAGAAACAACTTGTGTGTGTGTGTGTGTGTGTGTTCAGAAGTGTTGTGACATTTTCCTGTCAAATCAAAGGGGAGGGGGGAGAGTGGAAGGAAATGCTGGGGGACAACTTCAAGTGTGTGTCTTCTTTTTATCTAAGTGTTTCCAATTATTTCCCATCCAACTACTAGTTGGCTAAAACCCTTCTCAGCCCTTTAAATCCACATCGTGTTAACCTCATGACCTTTAGTTTGTTTTAAGATAATCCACCAGAAACATGAACATTTTTATCTTCTCATTATTTGACTGCAAAATGTAAGGAGTCCTAATGATATGTTAGATTACATTACATGTTAGACGCTTTTATCCAAAGCAACTTACATACTCAATACTGTGGACAATCCCCACAGGAGCAATTTGGGGTGAAGTGTCTCAGGGACACAACGACATGCTGACTGCAGTGGGGTTTGAACCTGTGCTCCCCCTGATCCGAACACCAACGCACTAGTCCACTGCGCCACACGCCTCCCCGTATGTCATATAACAACAACACATTTCCTTCTTGTGTAATCCTTAATGACTTATTTTTGAAGTTTTGTGTAACTCTGGTAAACATAGTACTGATTGAAAAACACTGTTCACAATTGGAAGTGATTCTGATTATAAATACTACACAAAAAGACAATTTACTAAATGTTACAACATTACAAAATATCAACGGTGTATGAGACAAACAGATGGTGGAATTTGAGACTCCCTAGTGTTTGAAAAAGACAAGCTTTATTTGTGCATTCAGACAAACAGGTCAGCTGTGATTTCCATCAGCAGAACCACAGTTCCTCTGTAAACACAGCCTCAAATATTTCATCCAAAGTTGCCCAAATATGACTCAGATTTCCTGCACAATGTTCCTTTTCTTTGGGAAAAAAGGAACCAAAACTAAATAACACAGCGTCCTATTGAGGTTGGCTCTTCCTTTGCTAATTAGAGTAGCTGCTCTCCCCGAGGACTGGTGGCATTGATCACGCTGCAAAACACTTAGACAAAAACAAACAAGATAAACATAATATAATCAGCCACACTGATAATAATACACGGCTAGCATGAATAATAACTTGTTAACATTCATGTGAATTGCTGTGGTCCTTGAGGATGCATTTTTAAAATGTCCTTTATGCACTTGCCTAATGTAACCCTGCATATGGCTTTGTTTCCCTAAAGAGTTTATTGAAAATGAGAGGTTGTGATCAAGAGATGCCTGAGTCTGAATGATTCTTTAGATGAGTTATCCTTCATTGAAAACTGTTGATGAAGCTCTACATCCCTTTTTCTACTTCTCATTTGTTGACATAATGCTTTTTTATTTCATTGCAACGTTCTCTCCTTCACTATATAATGACGGGTTGCTGCTTCTCTTGCTATCTTTTAACCTTTGAAATAACCTTTGGCTTCTCTTTACAAAAAGGCAACCTTGATTGCATACAGATTTAAAGCCTTTTTGTTTGATAAGCATCCAAAATGCATCAACTGTCAGAAATGTTGTTTTGTTAAACAAATGCATGCAGGAGTGCAAGGCCAACCTGGTAAATAGGTTTACATACAACCTCCTGGTGAGGCGTGGATGAAAGATCACTTTGTGTTTCAAGCGTTGCTCGGCCAGAAAGCTCCACAGGTTCATTTTGTACATTTATTCCACTCTTTTTTCATTGCTCTTCAGCTGACACTTAAAGGTCCCATGTCATGGCCATTTCTACTGATCATACTAGAATACATTTACATTGTTCAATGTTCCAAACTCACATTGGTTTCTCATACAGCATCTCTGTATAGTATGTGTATTCACTCTCTGTCCTAAACAGCTTGTTGGAGCTTCTGCCCCCCCCCTCCCTATGAGCCCACTGTGCTCTGATTGGTCAGCTCGCCCACTATGTTCTGATGAGTCCACCACTATTACAGCAGAACATCAGTGATTATGTGTTACAATGGCGTTGGTTAGCAACCAGAAAATGACACCAGTAATGACAAACAGATGAGAATGCTGCGTGGGGTCTGGGTGCCGTGTTGGCGGGACGTTGCGGGGCTCGCTGCTCCGCCCTTTGAGGATCGAGGAGCGGACAGTGTGAGCTGGATTACTGATGTCGTTTCCTGGTTGCTGCGTGGGGTCTGCGAGACAGCGAGACATCGCGGAACTCAGCCTGAGCACACACATACACTCACATCCAGGCTGTTCGCCACACAGTTCGCCACACACTCACAGCCTGAGAAAAGATAAGGCTGAGTGAGTGTGTGTGTGTGAGGAGCTCCACGGATTGGTCCATTTGGACCAATTGGTCCATTTGGTCGTCGTTACGTCACTTAGACCAGGAAGAAAAAAATAGAAAAATAAAAATCCCCAACGAGGCGTTCTGGGGCAGCATAGACAGGTCTTTTCTGTGTTAGAGTTTTACTCGCTACAGGGTGTACTTTGAGGGTTTGTGACTTTGCAGACCGTTTACATGCAGAAAAAGCTACATAACACACAAGGGGATGGGTAATAACCGGAAAAGCATGACATGGGACCTTTAAGTCATGGTTTGTTCAGAATCCTCTTTACAGTACGCCCAGATTTGATCATCGGCACTGAAATGGCAAGCACATTAAAGCCGAAACAATGTGTCGCTCGCCTCGTCCTCCACCTCCCGCTGACATGAGTTCAGTGGGCTGAGCTCTCTCAGGTTAGATTGACTGTAAGACCAAATGGAACAGAGCCTATTAGCCACCGTGCACTCACTTAGCCTAACATGGCTGACCCCCCCCGTGCACCGTAGCCCTGAGCTAAAGTGTGGATAATGTCGCTGTTAGCCTCCGCGCTGCGCTAACCCCCCTGTCGGCACGCTGTTAGCCTCTACTCAGAGGAGCCTTAAGTGCCTTTGACAGTTCTAATGAATAGACATGGCCCCGCTTTGCAATGTGGGAGATTTTTTTTCCTTTTACCGAACTGCCGCCTCCGGTTTTAAAAGCTTTATCAATAAGTGTTTGAAATTTTGTCAGCTAGCGTTGTTAGCACACAGCTGGTTGCTGCGAATACGCCCCTTTCTGCCCTGGACTTTCACAACACAGGCCGACAACAACAAGGGTGAAGGCCAGATATTTTTCTTTACAGCATTTACTTTCAGCTCCACTCTGTGAAGGTTTAGCTACACAGGCTGATTGCATACAAAAGGCTTTTTCTATACTGTTAAAGCACTTGCCTGAATAAGATGTGCAAGGCCAGCACGAGGGAACATCAGAGGAAAACATGTGGGCACCAGACGGAGTGGAAACGCTTCCTCCATCCTCTGTCATTTTGCAGCTAAAATAAGAGACAGAGAGGATGGGAAATAAAGGCTTGTAATTAACAGAGAATTACCCAAACAATAACCCGTCTCTTAACATTGATGCATGGCTCGTTAGCTATCAATAATCTGAATTCACCTCGTCTCCTTGATCCCTCAATACAAAAAGAGTGGACGCCTGATGGACATTGTGAAGTCTTCATCAAGCTCCCCTCAGTTTTGATGACTGAATTATCATTATCTGTATTGTTGTGCCTCCGGGGGTCTGGCATGGGGCACGGAGCCCCTCGTGCCAACTTAGTCAGCCATCTAATGTGCCCACAGTAGCTCTGTGGCACCTGGCAAACACTTAACATCACTCTAATCCCTGCTTACGCCCGAGCCCGTATGAAGGACTGTACAATTCACGTGTTTCAATTGCAAATGAGATCAGGCTCCTTTACCGTTACACTGCACTGCTGCGGAGGGGTTTCAAAATTGCCACCTGGGT